GAGAGAGAGAGAGAGAGATGTGCTGCTTCAAATAAGTACATCAAGCTGAAATTATGTTTCTCAATTATCATTACGCAGGTCCTGGTTGATGTTCATGCAGATCCCAACCTCCTGGTTGCATATGGTACGATATGCAAATATTGACTTGATTTCTTTTACTTATAGACCCTGAATTTCTTTTCTGATCTTTGTGCTACACCATCTCTTAGAGCTTAGCCTGCAAAGCTTACGAATTCATACTTGTGGGTACCTGGTTTATCACTCTTGCCCAAACTTGGGTGGGTTTATGGCTGAGCATGGTTCAAGAACTTGGTGAACATGGGAACGGCTGGACCAAAGCCAATAAATTGGCCCATTAATGATTGGCCATTGAGCTCGTATTTACTTTTATAGAAATGAGTGAGTTCCCTAACTTGGCCTGAATTAGAGCCATCTGGACGAGCCGCTTACTTAGGAGTCCTCAAAAGGAACTTTAAAGTGCTATGGTAGTGTTCACCAGTTCCCAAGACAATTGTCATGTGGCAGATTACTACTAAGACTGATGCGATGGTGTTCCCAAATTTCTTTCAATTTTGGTGATGCGTCGACAATGTTTAACTTAAATTGGAAATTACAATAACTCAGTCTTCACATTTTCATTTCATTCGTGGTACTCTTTTTTATATAGATTTTATATATAAGTTTTTTGGGTAAATAAATTTTATATATAAATTTCATTAATAAGATTTAGTTTTTATCTTTTGCGAAGCCATTAACGAACAAACTCGTGTGCAATCTAGTTTATCATTACAACAGTTTCACTAAAAATATTGTTTGGGGTTGACATTTACTAACAATTCTGGCTATATGGCAGTCGCTGAGGAGAATTTGCTTGCTATGGATGAACCTGACTTGGTGAGTGGAAGCCATGAGAGCTCAAAGCATTATCCACACAGATACACATGAAACGATTTTTTTTTTCTGTAGTTTTGTGCTCTCTTTATCTCTGTTTGATTAATCTTTTCACTTTGCAGGACTGGTTTGATCACCCATATGTTTCATTCCTATTTTACGGTATGGACACAGCTGGAGATTTCGTCCCTATAAAACAATTGCGGGAAAAGTATAACAGGCCTCGACATGAAGTTCCAGTAGAAAGAAATGATGAAGACGATGGTGAACCAGACTCCTTGCCATGACTATATATATATATATATATATAGAAGACGAGATTCCTAGCCATAATGGTCACTCTCATACCTCTTTTAAGCGAAAGTATACAATAAAGTTGTTTAGTACAAGGTAACATTCACCCCAGCTATCAGATGTGCAATCAAGCGGCTGCAGTTGTGGCGTGGGCTGTGCTCAAAGTACGAGGAAAAATTTTATTAAACTTTTTGCAGAGAACTGACATATCTCTAGCTACCCTATTCACATGCGGCATTTTGACATTTTGTACCAAAGCTGAAGGGTTTTATTGTATTCTACCCCTTTTTTTCAGTCAGGTTTCTCTTTCATGCTTCTTATTGTATGCTGCTGTATAGAATATAGATGCATGCATGTAAATCAGCAGCGTCTCTAGTGACAATAGAAATTGGAGAAAAAATTGAACTACTATTTGTATAAAATGCATGGAAATTCTAATGGTTCAAGAATTTCTTGTGGGCTATGACTGTCTAAGAAAATGTGACTTCATCCATCTTTACTATTTTTTTAAGCAGGAAATTGATGGAGGTGTTGAGAGTTCTTCCATGACTTGAGGTTGGGAAAATTTTCTAGTTTGCTCTTTGATTATTGCGTTGTTTTAAATTGTCCAAAATATCACCTCTCTCTCTAACATGTTGGGATGCACACGTGAAGTTGGCATGCATATTTCTTGAAATGGAAAAAGGAAAGAATTCTTTACTCATTCCAATGCACAGTAGGGAATTGAAATGAAGGTAATGTAACCCATATGTGACAGAATTAAGGAGTGTGCGATGGTGCATATTTGTCTAGAAACAGGATGCTAACAGGTCCTCGGACTATTCGATGTCAACGATTATTCAGGAATGTTGTTCCTCAGCTTAAAGTCTCTTGAAAATTTTTGTTGGCACACGGAGACATGCTCGTATCAACTCATGAGCATGGGCCATGACTGGTTTGATTATGACATGGATTTCTGCAGAGGCATGGACACGTCTTGGAAATATGTGAACTAAGCATTCTTTTTAAGAGAGAGAAAGAGACCTAATTTGATGATGAGAAATAGCAGTACTTTGTTCCGAACATTGTTCGCAAAACTAGCTTGTTTGAATGGGAACCGGCCGGTTGGCTCGGAACCGTGATCGTTTTGAGTCCGGTTAGGCGCTGTTTTATAGTACCAGTAGTCTAATGAGCACCTCAGAGAAATTTTGGGTTCAAAATCAGCCGGTTAGGCCTCAAATTGGTGAATTTTATTAAAAACCGGCCGGTTTCGATTAGTCTGACTGGTTTTCTATTAAAACGGTTTTTTTTAGCAAAACGAAATAACGGCGTTTTTTGAAATAGAGCCCATTGTTTGCAGCATGACATGTGAATCAATTTTTTTGCTTTTTTTATTCAATTTCCATGCCAGTTTTGGGCGTTTTTGGTGCTTTAGTGTTGTAAACCAGTATTGATTGTCTATAAAACAACAAATTTTGAATCAAAGATAAAAAAAAAAAAACAATAGTTGTGGATTGAAATGGCGGATTTTCTAACCTTTTGAAATTTTTGCCATTTCATCAATTTCTTCTCCAATAGGTAATGATTATTGATGAAATTTGAGAGTTTTGAATCATAATTGAATTGGTTACCATATCCCTGTTTCAATTTGTTTAAAAAACAAGATATAGGGGGTTGATTTTGGCCCGAAAATTTGCTCGAACAACATGTGTTTGAGCTGCTCGAAGAACCCTAATTCGATCTGTCATTTGTTAATTTCATCTTCAATACGCGATGATTATTGATGAAAGTTGAGGATTTTGAATCATAATCGAATTGGTTATCATATCCGTATTTCAATTTTTTAAAAAAAACAAGATATTTGAGGTTGATTTTGGCCTCAAAACAAGATATTTTGAGGTTGGTTTTGGCCTCAAAAAACAAGAACTTGTGTTCGATCCAAAAAATAGATTTTGGATCAATTTACTAGTCTTTTTTTTATCAAATTGCTTTATGGATTTTGATCATCAAGGCTTCATCTGTCATATAAAATAGGTACTTTGATTTATAATTGAGTAAAGGTTTTTACATGAATTTATTTCTTGCTTGATGTCATGAAAATTTCATAGGTCTAAATTTTTTGCGATTTTAAAATTAAATAAAAAAATACCAAGATGGAAGCCTTTACAAAGCTTTTGTATTGATTTGTTCGATTTTCCGAACATTGAGCGTCGTTTTTGCTTGAAATGTTGCTCAATTTTAGGGGTTTTTGAGAAACCACTTTTTCAAAAAAAAATTAATTTTACTTAATATTATTAAGGTAATAAAATTATTTTTTATGATGAATATGGGAAGTGTGTTTCTATTTTGCTTACTAAAATTACATTTTTTTGATAAAATTATGTTTTTATGATAAACACATGTTTTTTGATGAATATGACAAAAAAATCGATTCTTTTTTCTTAAAATGTTATATATATTTTTTCTAACAAACAAAAAAAAAAGTACATGATAATGTCGGTCTTACTTTTTGCTTCATTTTTTTTTGTTCGATTTTTTCTCTTTTTTTATTTTTTAAAGTGCATGATATAGTTATATTTGTAATAATGTAAATGGGAATGTAATTGTAATTGCTGTAATAATGGAATGGGGATTGTAATTGAGTAATGGAAATGGGATTATAATTACGTTGGTAGAAGCATTCACAATTTCAAACTTTTTTATTATAGAAAAAATTTGATCTTGCTTTTAAATAACTGTCTTGGATTCTGATATTTACTTAGGATCCATAATGCTCAGTTCCTTTTTATCATTTTCTTATTTTGCCTTAAGGACTGCTCATATAGCTTACTTTGCTGCTCAATTGATGAATGTAATCATGAACGGTTAATATGATTACTTCAAAACTATTGTTGGATCAGAAAAACAAAGAAAATACGTCGGAAAAATACAAGAGTACCTTAACCCCCTTACCACTCTGATTACTACTAGCCATTGTTAGTTGGACTTTGTAACTCTATCAATTAAATTAATATCAAATTATAAATTGTCTTGCATATCTCCAAAGTACTGATATATTAATTTTTGTAAAAAGTTGTTTCAAATTTTTTTTTTATAAGATAATATACACTTAATCTTAGTTTTTTTATTTTTTAATTTTTTTTGGGGGTTTTTGACCCTTTTTTTTTTTTTCAAAACAAATTCACCGGACCGGTGAGTCCGGTTCCGGTTCTAACCGCTCCTAGCCTTATGTCCGGTCAACCGTCCAGGTTCGATTTTGCGAACACTGGTTCCGAACGAACAAAGAAACCGAGTTAATTATTGGAAGGAAACATCTAAAGCTCCTAACAATGTCAGACAAAGTGGTTCTAAAAGAAATGCAGAAACATAAATTTAGGAAGCATTGGAAGCAAATATCAAAAGAAGTTATAAGAACAAATTCGAATGCTTTGGGATGCTTCTATTCGAACTGTAATTTGGTTCATTCGGCAAAGAAGAAATCAGAAGGCATAAACTAAGGAACATGACAAGAAAAAAAAAAAAACATCCTAAAAGAAAAGATATCCATATTTAAGAAAAGAAATCATATATAAAAGATATAGGGAAGATAAGAGAAACAAATTCCAATTGATTTTGAGTGAGATAGAGCGAATGTAGTGAGGTCATAAGAGTGATCAAGAGAATATTTAAAACCAAAAGATTTCATGCTCCGGCGGGAGCATGCTATCCATCTACTCCCTCGGGTAAAATCTAATGTAGTAGTTTTCCGATGCCAAATTTTGGGGATATTAGCTGACCCTAAAGAGTTGGGATAAGACTCTGATGATGAAAATTTGAAGATCTAACATCATCAACCCATAGTCTAACCTTAAAAGAAAAAAAATTCAAATCACACTCTCTATGCACTTGAGAAAAAATATAAAAAGTCTCAAGATTAAACAGAGACCGTCCAATTTCAAAAGGTGGGGCTCCCGTGCTTGCCGTACAAACCACTTCTAATGTAGAAAAATAAACTTGATGGTGACAAATAGTAGTCCCATGCTTAAAAAAACTACATTCAGTTTGATGCTTATCGATCAATACTCTATTAAAGAAAAAACCAAGGTTTTGCTTCGAATCTTAGGGATTTTGGTTCTTGACTTCGTTGAATCGTGCAAAGAACCTGTATTAAAAGGAAGGAAAAGTGATGGAGGAAAAAGACGTACAAGGATCCTTGCAAGAATTCTTTGGAAGGGCAGGCCAAATTAAATGGGAAACCCCTGTTCCACAAGTCTAGACACTACTCAATCACCAACCTTTGAGAGTTCCACTCAAGATGTCAAGTAATATAATAAAGGAACTTGAATTCTTCTCAAACTCTTAAAATCAAACAAAAAAAATAAAACAAAGCCATCTTTGAGAAAACAAGAGCTTAGTTCTTAACAAATCTCCTTAAACTGAAAGTTAAAAACCAAACAACTAGCTACCTATGAAACATGGACACGCATGCCTGTAGTCTTTTGCGTGCATAGATGCAATGCAGATACATGTATAGATACAATACTAATATGACACTATATTTGATACTTTACAAACTTAAGACACATTTTCTTCTCGACATATGTCTATAAAAAGTACTTAATCCTACTCTCTTGAAAGATCCACAAACACGTGATACACAATATAAAAGTACTAAAAATCACATTTTTGATACTTGTATCTGTGTCAAATAGTACCGCTTATTCTTAATGACATAGACATGTTTTATGAACCTTTCTTTAGAGCCTGCACCTCCACAAGGACCCTCCTCCAAATCCATGCCCAGCTATTGGTCACAGGCCTCCATAAAAAGGCCCAAATAGCTACTAAACTTGTCAACGTTTATTCTAAATTTGGTGACGTCGAGCCTGCTACATTAGTCTTTAGAAGGGTCACTGACCCAGATGCTTTTCTCTATGGAGTTATGATGAAAAGCTATGTATGGAATGGGTTCTTTGAGGAACCCATTATGCTTTACCATGACATGCTTCTTTTGAGCTTTTGCCTGGTAATTTCACATACCCACCTGTACTTAGAGCTTGCTCTGGTCTAAACCATCTGATTATGGGCAAGAAGATCCATGGTATCATAATTCAAAATGGGTTTGAATCAGATAATATAATTCAGACTTCTCTGGTGCATATGTACACAACTTGCAGTTGTTTGGATGATGCTCGTAAAGTTTTCGATAGAATTTTGGAGAGAGATGTGGTTTCATGGAGCTCTATGGTTTCTGGTTATGCACACAATGGGAGGACTATCCAAGCTATTGAGACTTTTTCAGAGATGAGTTTGAGAGGTGTGGAGATCGATTCTGTGACCTTGCTTGGGGTGACTCAAGCTTTCTCTAATGTGGGGTCTTTAAAACAGGGGAAGCTGATACATGGTTATTTACTGAGGAGGGGGATTTCAATTGATTGGTCGGTTGAGAATTCACTAATTTCCTTATATATCAACTGTGGTTGCTTAGATAGTGCGCATAAGTTGTTTTCAGTGATGCCGGAAAAAAGTGTTGTTCTATGGAATAAGATGGTTACTATCTATGCTCAAAATGGTTTATATGAGGAGGCATTGAGACTTTTCAGTCAAATGATGAGACAAGGATTTGGGCCTGATTCTTTTACCTTTGCTGTTTCTTTCTCATCTTGTGCAAATCTAGGAAACTTTGTGCTTGGGAGTCAAGCCTATTGTGTTGTAATAAAAACTGGCTTTGAATCTAATGAATTTGTTCATAACTCCCTCATAGATATGCACTGTAAATGTGGGTTTGTGTGTGATGCATGGAAGATCTTCGAGAACATAGAAGACAAAGGTCTTGTGGCTTGGAATTCGATGATCTGTGGGTATGGACAAAATGGTAATTCTGTTGAAGCGATAACCCTTTTCGATAGGATGCTTAGAGAATACCCTGAGCCTAATAGGGTGACCTTTCTCAGTGCAATTCAGGCTTGTTCCCATCTGGGTTTTCTAGAGAAAGGAAGATGGATCCACCAAAAGTCCATTACCCATGGTTTTGATAATGATTCTTATGTTTCTACATCTCTCATTGACATGTATGCAAAGTGTGGAGACATTGAAATGGCTCGAAAAGTGTTTGAAAACATGAGAGAGAAGAATGTAGTCTCATGGAGTGCCATGATTGCAGGTTATGGCATGCATGGCTATCTGGCAAAGGCGATTTCACTGTTCAAAAAAATGGAAGGTTCGTGTGTGAAGCCAAACACTGTTACTTTCGTGAGCATGCTTTCAGCTTCTAGCCATAGTGGAAGTGTTGAGACAGGCTGGTTCTATTTCGTATCCATGAAAAGAGATTACCAAATTATTCCAATACTAGAACACTATGCTTGCATGGTTGACCTTCTAAGTCGCGCAGGCCAACTTGATGATGCATATGAGTTCATAGCATCGTGCCCTGTGAAACCCAATGCTAGTATGTGGGGTGCTTTGCTTGGTGGCTGTAAAATCTATCAAAGGATGGACCTTATCAAAGATATTCAGAAGCATATTTTAGAGCTAGAACCAGAGAATGATGGATACTATGTCTTGCTATCAAATATTTATGCTGATAGTGGGAGATGGGAAGACTTTGGAAGGTTAAGAACAATGATGAAAGATATGGGAATAAAGAAGGCACCTGGATATAGCCTAGTTGAAATGAATGGAAAGGCTCATAAATTTGTTGCCGGGGATACTTCGCATCCAAAACTGGAGGAGGTTATGAGGTTTCTGGAGTCCATGGAAAGTTTGGAAGAAGAAGAGAGAGGTTACCCACCACTCCAAGCGTCCTTGAGGCTCAATATAGAGGAAGAAAGGAAGGAAATTGTTCTTAGAAGCCACAGTGAGAAGCTAGCTATGGCTTTTGGGATCATCAGCACGAACCCAGGGGTGACAATTCGTATCACGAAAAATCTGCGTATTTGCTCTAACTGCCACAGTTTCACAAAGTTTGTTGCTAAGGTCACAGGCAGAGAGATTATCATGAGAGATTTGAACCGTTTCCACCATTTCAAGGATGGTTCTTGTTCATGTGGAGAATATTGGTGATCGTACATGCATAAATGCATTCGTACATAAATATACATTTACATGCACACAGATACATGCATCCATAGAAGCCAGATTGATATTAACATTAATTTTTCATTTCCTTTTTTATGTTCTAATGAGTAATTAAAGCATTCCATATTGTGTGTGTATGACATGCATAGGTGTATTTGTCATTTATCGTTTGTTCACTTTTCACAAGTAATAGAATCATTGATACAGTATTGGGGGAGACTCATGCTCCATGAATGAGTGAACGCATTTTATCTAATTTGTCAAGCTATATCCTGGTATTTTCTTTAAGCCTCTCTCTCTTGCACTTGTCCTCAACCTTTCTGCACTTCTCCATTGGCCTGCATCAGCATAAATGTTTGACAAAAGAGTATAAGTACCTGAGTTTTCAGGTTCCAAACTTAAGAGCTGACTTGCTACAACCTCCCCCATCTTCACATTTCCATGAATTCTACAAGCCCCAAGTAATGCACCCAAAGTACTTGTACTCTTTTGCAACAAAGGCACACTCCTTATGAAACTATAAGCCTCTTCAAGATGGCCTGCTCGTCCCAATAGATCGACCATGCATCCATAGTGTTCTTCACATGGGGTCATGGAGTACTCATCAATCATGGAATAGAAGATCTTCCATCCTTCTTCTACTAAGCCCACATGACTGCAAGCAGATAGAATGGAGGTGAATGTAACTTCATCTGGTCTAATTCTTCTCTCTCTCATCATGTTTAAAAGCTCTAGTGCTTTCAAGCAATTTCCATGTGATTTATATGCTCCTATCATTGAATTCCAAGAGGCCAGGTCGCTTTCTTCCATGTTCTTGAATAGAGCTTCTGAAGCCTCAAGCTTCCCACATTTTGCATATGTAAAGACGAGAGAATTAATGATGCTGGATTCTCTCTCCAACCCAAGCTTATACACACAACCATGGACTTCTTTTACTTTTCTTGAGGATCCTAGCTGAGACAAAGCCTGAAGAAGGGCAATAATGGTCACTGAATCAGGCTTCTCTCCCCTTAGTAGTTGCATCATTTGAAACACTGCTATGGCTTTATCAGCATGGCCAAAATTCACGTAACCCATCATCATCGACACCCATGAAACCAAATCTTTTTCTCTCATCCCATCAAGAAATTTCCTAGCAAGATCAAGGCACCCGCATTTCGCATACATGTCCACCATCTGATTACACACTTCCAAATCTGAACCAAACCCATACTTTACTACGCACCCATGTAGTTGCCTCCCCCTTTGGATATCTGTTAGATTAGCACAGGCTGAGAGCAAATTCAGCATTGTAGCAGTGTTAAATCTCATGCCAGTTTCTCTAACTAGAGATAAGACACCAAAGGCCTGCTCAGTCAACCCACTATGAAGATAAGCACCAATCATCACATTGCAAGATACCACATCCTTGAACTTAACCGTATCAAAGACCTCTTTGGCCTTCTCTATCTTCCTGCACTTACCATACATTTCTATCAGAGCAGTGGCTGCAATTAAATCAAGATCAATTTCTCTTCTGATTATATATCCATGAATACTCGCTCCTAAGCTCAAGCACATCAGATCGGCACAACCCAAGAGAGCATTTGCCAAAGAAATCAGGTCTGGCTTGAGATTCCTCTCTATCATCATGAAATGGAAGAAATTCAAAGCTCTTAAGGGATTTCCGTACTGAACATAGCCTGAAATAATCACATTCCAAGAGCCGACATTTCGCTTCCCAACCCCACTAAAAATGGCCCCCGTTATTTCGAGAGCACCACACTTCACATAACCATCTATTAGAGATGTCTCAAAAATTTCATCACCATGACCAACTCCCCTTCTAAGAGCAAAACAATGGATGGATTTGACCTCGAAAAGAGCTCCAATTTTTGTTGCTGCCCTAATCAAACTTACCAGTGTGACCCGATTAGGACTGAAACCTTCATTTTGCATCAAACCCAAAATTCTAAAAGAATTATATGAATCATCAGTCATTGTCGCCTCCGCATAACCGGTAATTATGGCAGTATATGCAACTAAATCTCTTTCAGACATCTCATCAAACACCATTTGAGCATTTTGATAGAACCACATATCGAATATAAACCGATAAGGGATGAGGCCACAAATCTATCGGCACTTAGTCCTAGTTTCAAAGCATCTCCATGAATTCCTTGCCCAATCTTTGAGCTCTCAAGTTCAGTGCAACTCTTGAAAGCAAATGTAAAAGTAGAACTGTTATAACCAATCCCTTCTCTCTTCAAGCACGAATATAGCCTTAGAACTTCACTGAAATAACCAGTTCTAAAATACCCAATTGAGATTGAAGTCCACAGAGAGAGATTCCTATTGATAATCCTATGGAATACGGCTCTTGAATCTGTTAAGCTACCAAATTCGGCGTATGAATTTAGAAGCTTAGATCCCAAATATATGCTATTTTGAAGACCATGGGTGATAATGGAAGCATGTAGCTTTCTCAGAGATTGAATGTTAATGCAATTTTCCAGTAATGGAAGGAATGTATGCATGGTAAGAATGGAAACTGGCGTTTCTATGAAAAATTGAACAATACCCAATAGGAGAAATGACAAAAAATGGCGGAAAAAATGACAAATATAATTATGCATTCCTGGTTCGATTCAAACCTAAGAATCAGTGATGCTTACAGTCGATTTTTTTTTTATAAAGTGATTTTTTTTGCAATAAACGGTATATATGTTATCACATTGAATGGAAGTATAAGCCTGATAAGAAAAGAATTTAAATTCATAAGGAAAAAATGATCCATATGGGTCTGAAATCTGAATTTAACTTAAAAAAAGGGTTCTGAGGTTAAGTTTACATTAAAAACAAAAAAGAAAAACAAGAAACAAAAAAAGGGCTCTGAATGGTTTATTAAGCCTTTAAGAAACGCAACGGTCTCAAAAACTGCTTTTTCAAAGTTCACCAAAATAACGTTTTTTTCAAAAAAGGAAAATTTTACAGAAAATTTTTATTTTATTTTCAAAATTTAAAAATAATCCTCAATATTTCATATGTTATGCTCAATCATGTCTTTCAAGAGTGTATTGTGCATTTAAGTTTTGACATTTTTCATACACTAGATTAAGCTCAATGGGCGTGAAAATCCCATCATTCATGAAAAATAAATAAATTTATTAAAATACCCAATACCCCTTAATCTGGCAGTGTAGATTTTATGGGGAGAATTGTTAAAAGCCCCCTAAAATGTACTCTATAAACACTCTACCCCCACAGCAAACTTGTTTTACTTTGTTTTATAAACTTTTATAACTAAAACCCCCCTAACTAAAAAAGTTGTAATTTTTTGACGAAACTACCCCTTCTCATACGTTCAATGTATCGAACGACGGACCCCAATAATACATTCGCCGGACTGCGGTACTTATTTGCCAAACTCATCACATATGCCGGTCTGATTTACTGCAATACCGGATTGCTTATTTAGACATCGATACGCCGGACCGTAGACAACTAACGCCAGACCTTAGATTACAAAGCGTCGGACCCAGACAATGATTTGCCAGACTTCCTACTCCAGTTAACAAACCACCGAAGTGCAGCTCTACAACGCCGGAGTTCTTCTTTAACAGTGCCAAAAATCGGCAGATTGCCACGGTTAGAGTGCCGGAGTGGCGATGAATCCAGGAAAAATATCACCGGACTACTGCATGATTGTGCCGGTGCGCCATGAATCCAAGAAGCCAATCCTCGGACCCTTGCGGCATCTGGCCGGAGTGCCCACGCTTTTTCGGACTGCCGTGTGACTCTACCGGAGTGCCATGACTCCAGGAAACGAATCGCTGGACTGCTACGGTTACAGTGCCGAAGTGCTGATGAAGCCAGTAACGAGATGGCCAGACTGCCGCATAAATGTGCCGGGGTACCATGACACCAGGAAGCAAATCGTCGCACTGCAATGGTCAGTGTGTCGGAGTGCCCATAAGCCCAGGAAGCAATTACTCGAACCCTTGCGGTGACAGTGCCGGAGTGCCGACAAACTTCCGGACTAACCCAGGGGTTTAGGGTAAGGGTAAAAAAAAAAAAGTAAATTAAAAAGGAGAGGTAATTTTGTCCTAATTTTTATGTTTTTAGGTTTGGGGGGTTTTAGTTATAAAAGTTGGTTTTTTATAATAAGAAGTGAGAAAAGTTTGGGGTGGGGGTAAAGTGTCTTTAGAGTACATTCTAGGGGTTTTTAGCAATTTTCCTTATTTTTTATATTTTTATAAGAGGGTGATGGTGCCCCAAGTTTTAACCTAATTCAATGTTATATAAAAAGCAATAAAATTAGGTTTATATAATATCTACCATGAAGATCATGAATGCGTAAAAAATATATATATATATATTAAAAAAATAATATTTTTTTGAAAATTTTTTTAAGAGAAATTACAAAAAACCCTCAAGATCACACTTGCTATGCAACTTACACCCAACCTAACTATTTCTCTCATTTTGTTCCCCAAAACAAACTTTCTATTCAAATAAAACCCAAAGAAAAAAGTTCATGTTTTTGGACAGAAATGCCCTTCCCATACACAAAAATCATTTTTGGACAGATTTCGCGTTAACTTTTGGACCCAGTAGCACATTGTCGGAGCGCAACATCACATTGGCAAAGCGCACAAGTGTTGAACCTCCCTAAGACAACTACTGGATCGAAACTGACTACTGTCGGATCGCACTTTATATAGTGCGGGATAGAGGAGAGAGTGCGGGATAGAGGAGAGAGGCGTAGGCAAGGTAAAAATAAGGGAAGGTAGTTTAGGTATTTTTTAATTTTTTATTTGATTGGGGGTATTTGCATAGAAAGTACATTTTGGGGAAAAGAGTGAGAGCAAAAGTTAGGTTGCGAGTAAGTTGCATAGAAAGTGTACTCTTGGGGTTTTTTATAATTTTTCTAAATTTTAGACTGTTGATTTTATTTTATTTTGAAGATACCAACAACTCCAACATTCATTTTTAAGATCGATGTGTGATACCTCGGGAACACAAATACAGTTACGCGTCCTCTTACCAACTACTATTCCATAAAATTTAAATATATTATACAGTCCCACAAAAGTCTAAAATATGAAATGTGTATTCATTTAAGAAAGGTGTGGCTTGTATAAGGCTGAAGCCCAAGCCAATCAAAGTAAGGTGCATAAACATGTTTTTAGTATAAGAAATCTTTGTAATGGTCTAAATATATATTTTTATCTTTAATTATAAAATTTAATGATTAAAAAATAGTATAGATTAAGCAATTTTATGAACACTTAAAAATCTTGAGAAAATTTTTTCAATTTGAAAATTTTAAAAGTAATTGCTAGATGATTATTTTTAAAAGAAGCATTTGAACAAGATTTTAAAAGTGAATCTATGACCTATATGCCCTTTTAGATTTTCGACCCGGTTCAGCTGATCTGTGATCCAGTCTTCTGAACTGGTTATCATTAAAAATATGAAAAAATAAAACTACCCGGTTCCCGATGTTTTGCAGGAAGCGGTTTGTCCTCTGATGTTTTCTGATTCGGATTGGTCGGTTCCGATATGGATCAGCATTTTCTTAAAATATTGATTTTGAATTGAGTTTTCTAGCACTTGTATCTCATCATTGGAAAACTGAACGGTCCGTGTTCACATTTTTCAATTGCATAGAGCGTACAATTTGGGAAAAACGAATTATCGAGGTTAGTCCATGGATTGAATAGGTCACATCCTCAAAATTTGGGATGCCAAAAGATATCCTACTCGCTTAAGAGCATATTTTTCATTTACTCTCTTGGATAAAACCCCACCTAGGATTAAGTTTATGGCCTTAAATTTTGGGATAAAACCTTTTAACACATAGATTAAGCTAAATAAATTTTTTTTTTCTAATTGCACCCTTTAAGCATTTGAAAAAAAATAATATCTCAAGTTTGAATTGAAACTGTATAATTTTTGGAGGATGACCTCAAGTGTTAAAAAACTCAAATTTCAAATTTTTTTTTTTTTTTTTTTGAGAATAATCATTTAGCAATTCTCAAAGGACGGTTTCTAAAATTTCAGATTGAAAAATCCTCTTTAAGTAGGTCATCTGGCCGACGGAGTAGTAGTAAAGCGCCTTAAGGAGCATAGTATATGCGCTTATTTGGGGTTACAAAGTTATTTGTTGGCTGGATTTTAAGTGAGAGTAAATGGGCATTGTACTTCTATGGAAGTATAACATCTTTCGGCATATAGTAACATAGAGCGAACTCACTAAGCGGCTAGCGCTGGATTTGTAAGGCTACATCCTAGGCGCAATTTTTATGAAAGGTAGTGGCCCTCTCCCGGATAATACACCCAAACAAAAAAAAAAAAAACAAAAAAAACAAACAAAAAAAAAACAAAAACAAAAACAAAAACAAAAACAAAAGCAAAAACAAACATGGGTCCACTCTCTTCACTCACCTCCTATTATTGTTTTATTCCAAGTAACTCGAATGGATAGTGATTCTACATCTTTCTTAAAAAGAAATGCAACATGAATGTTGAGACATAAGATTAATGTTGTCAAATTTGCTTCGTTTCGCCCAAAGCCTTCGGATTTTAGGCCTACATCGAAGCAAAGCGAAGCCTAGAGCTGTTTTTTCGGTCAGATTCGGGTCTGCTTCAGGCAGATTCATCTGAAGCTTTGCCCTCTTTGGCCTAAGCAAACAAATATCTAAATTAAAAAAAAAATTAATTTTAAATTTTCATTATTTTTATATATTTGTATATACAAATATGTAATTTATTTATATTAAATTTAAAAAAAATCTGAAGTCTTCTGCGAATCGGCTGAAACACCGAATTGTTTCTTTTTTCTCACCAAACCAAACAAGATTTTGAAGCAAATCTAACAACATTACATAGAATGCTCATTCATTACTTAAGAAAAAGCCTTTATGTATATGTATGCAATAATACAGGGTTTTCATATAATAATACACTTTCATTATATTTTATATATCTTATATGTATGTAGAGATCCGTAGCCACTCGATTCTATACTTTAATTATGACATGATAGAAACAGGTATGGCCTCGTGACATTG